CCTGTTGGCAAATGTATGTGGAATGATCAGTTGTTATCAGAATCTTACCCGAGGAGTATGGGTCTTGGGTATGGCTATTGTTATCAAGCTGTGATATAGCCCCATGCACGATGCAGGGCATATAACAGAAGCTCAGTAATTGAGAAATGAATGCACCTATCCTTTATAGATGCTAACAGGGAAGTTTAGGATTCTAGTAGGCCAACCCGACTTATTTTTTGATCAGGTAGATTTTGCCTTGTTTCTCTTAACTTGCTATATCATATGGATATTAAATCTGATAAAATTTCATGTCAGGGAATTACATAATTGAAACAAATTTTATCTGTCATCTCTGAGCCTAGGAATTGGGACTGTACATTTGTAACAGACTGGAGATTGCGTTCCTCTGCCCTGTGGTAGTAATGGTCGTAGTGGCTAAATGATGTTTCAGAATTCTTTTGGGTGGCTAAGAGTGTACTGCACAAAAAGAACAACCTTGGGTCACTCTCAGTGTTGGTATTTTCCTAGAGTGGGACATCTTAATTAGGGAGTCTGTGACCTGGCTAGATTTGGGAACTGTTCTCTAGTGAGGAAAAATGATACCCTAAACTCCGTTTACGCCCTAGATCCCCCTTAGGGGATAATTCTTGATACTGCCTTTAAAAATAGGGAGAGACAGGGACACCTGGGTGGCTCAGTCTGTTGAGCCACTGCCTTCTGCTCGGGTCATGATCCCAGAGTCCTGGGATCAAGTCCCGAATCGGGCTCCTTGCTCAGTGGGGAGCCTGCTTCTCTCTCTGCCTCTGCCTGCCACTCTGCCTGCTTGTGCGCTCACTCGCTCTCTCTCTCTCTGACAAATAAATAAATAAAATCTTAAAAATAGACAAGCCTTTTCAAATTCCAAAATCATTACAAATAAGATGGATAAATGAAAAAATTTTGTAAGTCCTATCTGGAAGCCAGAAGACACTTTGTTTCCTCAAAGTTTTTTCCAGCTCTAGAATAAACTATTGAGACAGAGGAATAGATGCCAGGCCAGGGAGTTTCATTTAGTATTTTAATAATAATAATAAAAAAAAGACAATACAAAATCCAAACATTTCTTTTTACAGGTTCAGATAGTTTTTTTTTTTCCCAAGTGCAAAATACTCTATGAACTGCATCATTACTGTTTATTGTTGATTGTGTAGGAGACACTATATTGGCAGCAGTGGAAGGCAGATATAAATACAACATTTTGAGATTCTTTTTCTGCATTAAAAAAAAGCCTCCCACATGGTAATGATTATTCTCTGAAACTTCAGTTAACTCACACAGAAGAATAGATTTTTCAGTTTATCCGAACTGCTACAATGTGTTGTCTAGATAAGCTGATAACAGAACTGGAGGTTCTATTCTCTCTAATCATATATTTTCTTAAAGGGTTCCTAGTCAAAATAATGGCCCAAGGACAGGGTGTGCTATCTTTGAGAGAGGTCCGATTTAAAGATAACCTTGTGTTGTTTGCTTCCACTTTTGTGCTTTAGAAAGAAGCCAAGCAGGTTAATATTATTTTCTGCTTATGGTCATTTATGTTTTGTCTCCCTCCCCCTAGTTTGAGCCTGTTACATTGAGATTAAGCAGCAAATAACAGAAGTTTGAATGCTCTATAATGTTTTCTGACATTTTGAGATATGACCTACCAATCCACTACAGAGTCCCCTCAAACATGCCTATGGAGAACACTTCTCAGATACAAAAAACTTCCTTAGGGCTGGAGACCAGAGCTGTATTCCTGACCTTGGAGCAACACATCTGAGCCTCCATTACCTCAAACTAACCCAGTCCTCAGGAAGTCAGAGCAGTCACAGCTCAGTGTCTGCCCTTGGGAATTTATAGACCTGGGGTAGGGCAGCTCAAGTCCAGGATCTGGTCAGTTCTCCTGACTGAGTGTTCACCTGAGGGAATGGACCTGGCCTAATAATACAGAAAGAGGGAGGCAGAGAAGTGAAAATGGATTGCCATGTTGCTGAGGGTTTAAGTGCCTTTCTGATGTGCATCACTTGGCGCTCACAGTCTTTACAGAAATGGCTTCCCATTCCCAGACTCAGATCAGGGCAGGTTTTGTACCAAGATAAATGAAGCCTCACAGTACTGTGGCCCTGTGAACACCCCCATCCTGCAGAGAGGCCTCGGGACTGGTTCATGAAGCATTTCCATTTACTCCGTCTACTTATTTCCTTACACTGGTAAAAACCTTTTTTTCTGTCTGGCCTGTAAAGGCCTAGAGAGTCCCTGAGTATTGACTCCTCATTCAGTCCACTTAACCCCTGGTTTGATGTCCCAGGACTGGCTTCCTCCATAGGTTCAGCAGTAGCTTTGTCTGGATTGTTAACCCCCAGCTTGGATGACCTAAACTAAACTTGGTGGACATTAGCAGTTCTTTACCTGCTCACCAAGATCTGTCTTGACATCAGTTAAGAAGCTTAGTGGTCTACACTTTCCATCCGTGGAAATCATTTGCAGTTTCCAGAAACCATGGAATAAGTTATTGGAGGAAATATGTTTATGGGGTGATGGGAAAGGAGAAGAGCAAGGAGAAGCCAGACCCTGAAGGCATAAATTGGGAAGTACTCTGCTTAGCTTTCTAAGAGAGGGAGAGAACCAGAAAGTTGGTGGAGAATTAGGATGATCAGAGTGAATTAAAGCAGTTTTCAGGCATTTTCTGGGAAGTGTGGCTACTTCTATTAAATTACCATTTTCTTGTATGGAAGCAGACATTTTGTATCTTTATAGCAGGGCCCTCTTTGACTCAGAGAGATGAAGCCAGATACTCCACTGCCAAGGGCTGGGGTGTTGGCTAAAGGCAGTGGGGGAGTTAGCTTTGACTTTGGCTGCCTACTGCCTAAGGCTATCTTTGGTGGGTGAATGCTAATGATTAGGGAGTGAGGAGATGGTGCAAGCTTCTTTATTTAGTGTCAGCTCTCCTGGGGAGTCAGCAGTAACCTGGGATAGTCACTTAGAAATGAAACCTAGAAGTTGATTGGTAGCCTTGGATTGAATAAAACTACAGCTTTGGGGGAAGTAAAAGGAGCAAATGGAAAATACATTTATAGGCAGTAGTGGAATGAGGGTAGAATGTGTGCAGGATGTGGTCTTGGGCATGGACTTGATTCTTCCTTTTGAAAAGCAGTAGTGGAGGAAGCTAAGCTTGAAGTCAACTCCCAGAGGGGATGGCAGACAGGTAAGGGAAGGCAGAGTGGCCAAGGTCAGGCAAACTTCATGCTTTGATAACTGTCTTATTCTTGGTTCCTTTAGCCTTGTTTGTGACCTCAGGCCCCTGAGTCAGCTCATTCCCAGGGGGTTTGTCCTGATCCTCTTCCATGTGTGCACCAGGGGAAAACAGGATGAAGGCAGGGAAAAGATGGAGGCTTTCCCTATTTGGGTGTGGAGAATCACTGACCAATTCCATCGGCCTCTACAATCGTGAGGTCCATGTTGAATCCATAGAGAGGCATAGGGATGGCAGGATTGGTTTAGCAAACGCAGGTCCCTCTCCTTCCTGCTCCATCAAGTCCCCAGAATTACTCTCCTACACATCAGGTGCCTCTGAACTAAGGTTTGGGTTCCCCCATCTGAAGGCTCCAGAAGTCTGGATGGCCACTGGTGGGGGAGCAGAGACAGATCAGATGCTCCAGCACTCAAGGTTCATGAGATCCAAAACCTTTTTCCTTCCACTTCAAACATACACTCTTTTCTCTTGGGCAGCTATAAATAGGTTTGTTCTAATAGAGGAAAAAAACAAAAACAAAAAAAAAAAAACAAAACCAGAAAACAAAACCCCTCCCTTTAGACAACATAGGAAGACTCAAAATGATTGCACTTATTAGATGTGGACAGGGTGGGCAGAAGGGTCGCCAAGTGTGCACACATTCCTCTTGCTGCCCACAGCCTGGGGCCAGAGGTAGGTGGCTCTGGGTTGGCAGCAGAGCAGGGTCCTCTTTGGTGGAGTCCACAAGCCATCTGGGGCTACAAGGGAGACAACTCGGGGACAAGGCCCAGGCTGGCTTCTGGTCAGCAGCCATGTTTCTTTAAGGACAACACTTAGCAAGGGGAGTAGGGCTCCCCCAGGGAGCGCTCAGGTAGGGGTGAGGAGATGGCTGGGCCAGGACGACAAGTAAGAAAAGGGATTGGTGTTTGAGGCTGGTTTCTAATTGTTCTGGAGTCTAGTCCTTTAGATGATAGGTTTTCTTTCTTTTTTCTTCCTTTTTTTTTTCTTTTTCTTTCTTTCTTTTTCTTTCTTTCTTTTTTTTTTTTTCCTTTTTTTTCTTTTTTCTTTCTTTTTTTTTTTTTTTTTTTGTGATGCTTTAAAACCTGGTTTCTGTCCTGCAGAGCTATAGTCTTTCTGTTGGGGAGTGACAGCAGCACTTTCAACATGGTAATGCCTGCTGCTTTTCCTCATTCAGCTGGTGTCCACTAACCCAGTGGTATGGGCCTTTTGTAAGCCCTCATGAATTGGACCCCAAGCAGACATGTGGGGGAAGAAGGAAAGAAGCTGTATTGACAAGAAAGCCAGCTGTGTGGACAGTCTAGGGCTCGAACCACGTACCCCAGAGGACCAGTGCTGGCATTAGGCCTATAAGTCAGAGACTTCTTTGGCAGATCCCTGGGTTGTTAAAATCACCCTGGGGGGCACAGCCAGGGGACATTTTGGCTCCTGTCTAGCAAGGCACAACCCTATAAGAAGGGCAGAAGCCCTTTTTCCCCCTGCCCCATTCCCCACTAGATCCACTTCCTTCATGGGCCTCTAGCACCCCTCCAGGCTGATGAGGCCATAGATGTGAGCTGGTGAAATGGTCAGTGTGGCTGGGAAGGGGAAGGGGACACTGTTCTTTCACCCCTCAGGGGCAATAGAGCCAGCACTTAATGGCTTTTCCAGGGAGCATGTAGGAAAAGGGACCACAGTAAAGAGAGGGAGAAAGAGGCAGAGAGAGACAGGAAAGGAAGCTGGAGAGACAGAAAGGAAGAGTGCTTGGTCTATAGTGATTTTTTTTTCCTCCAAAAAGAAAGAGAGGAGAGAGTTCCTCATCTGGGGGTGGGGGCTGCCGGCTCTGAGGGCTAAGGAGTCTGGGGGCTTTAAAACCTGGGTCTTGGGCTTAGGGGCACTATTTATAGGGCCTCAGGAAACTGGAAACTTTGGAGCGGAGTAGCTTGATGAAGGATTTTGGCAGCATCTCCTTGTGCTTCTCTGTGTACTTGAAGTAGTTCTGGGGGTGGGCCAGCACCTCAAAGAAGGCCTTGATGAGCTTCTTATCCTGCAGAGGATGGCAGGCGGCAATGTCAGCCTCAGCTTTGGGGGTGGGAAAGAGGGACACCAGCCTCAATTCAGAAGCAGCCCCTCTTGATGTTGAATAGGCATGCCCAGAGGTGAACTCTGGATTTCCATCCCCACCATCTGTTCTTCTTTTAGAATCCTACGACTCCGTCACTGGCAGCTCCATCCTTCCATTGCTCACACCCCAGTCCTTGGAGTCATCCTTGACTCCTCTCTCCCGCCCACAACCACAGCAAATCCTGTTGATTCTACCTTCGAAATATATCTGGGGTCTGACCATTTCCCACAGCCTCCACAGCTACCACCCTGTCCAAGCCACCACCATCTGTCACTTGGACAACTTGCAGTAGCCTCCTACCCTGCTTCCCTGCGTCTGTCTGTCCTCGTCCCTCTACAGACTTTTCTCCCCCACTTCAGCCAGAGTGACTTTTTCAGTTTTTAATTAGATCATGTCCTTTTTCTATTCAAAACACTTCTCTGGTTTCTTTTTTCACTCAGTAAAGCCCAGTCTCTTGCATGGCCCACAGGCTGAACATGATCTGTACCCTGTTCTCTGTCCTCCAGTCCCCCTTGACTTTCTTACTCTGCTGAGTTCCCCTGGCCATCTCGGGGTTCTCAAATATGCCACACCACCCCATGCTTCTTGGCTTGAAATGCTCCTTTCCTGATCTTCTAATGGGTAGCCCTTTACTTCACTCAGGTCTCTTCTCAGATGCCTTTCCTAACCATTCTGTCTTAAACAGCAACATGGTGTGTGGAGAGCCTACCAGGTGCCAGGCACTGTGCACAAAGACTCAGGTCTTCTGGCTTCTAGGCTAGTACGCATCCTATGGCATCAGCAGATTTTTAAAATAAGAGGCAGGGCCTCCAGCCCCTGATCCCCACTACTTTATGCATTGGAGTTCCACAGCACATCTGAAATAAGGGTTCGGATGTTTTAAAACATGTTCAGAAAGCACTGCTGAAATGATTTTCTTTGTAGTCTGCAAGTTCTAGATTTTTGTCATTGTGTCTCTTATTTTGACAATAATGCAAAAATGACTTTAGAATCATAAAGATAAAATTTGTCCTTGCATTGATAATTTATGAAGGATAATACTGTGTCTAGGATTGTAGCTTGCCAAGTAAGGCTTTCTCAAACTGGGATCCACAGACCCAGGGGAGTCTAGTTCATTCTTAAACGTAGGTAACATTTCTTTTCCTTTAAAACAGGTTTTAGCTGAATTAACTCTGAGGAACGCTGTGCTAGATCTGCTCCTTTTCTGTGGAAACTGAGGAGGGAGGCAGGGAAGGGAGGGACCTAATGCAGAAGCATCTTTTTATACCTCACTTCCTCCCTATTTTTTGGTACAAGCGGTCAGGGACATTTCATCTCCTCCTCTTCCCTACCTCTTGCCCCGCAGTATGAGGTACTGTGAGGGACCCTGCAGTCAGATGGGCTTGGACGCACTGGGCAAGCTCTGTAACCCTGTGCCTCAGTTTTCTTATGGGTAAAGTGGGAATGATGAAAGTACCTATTTCATAGAGCTCTTATGTATATCAAGTGAGAATACTCCTGTAAGCCCTCAGCCCACTGCCTGCACATTGCTACATGCTCATTAAAGCCTGGCTCTTCTTATTTCTGTGCACATTCACTTGCCTTTAAAATCTCCTGGTGGTTTTCAGATGCATAGAGCCGGCCGTCTCGAACAATGTCTTCTACTAGCTGCTCATAGTCCTCTGCAAAATCAACCACGGGGAATAGTTTACAGGTAGAAACTCTTCCTGCTCCCCCTGCTCCCTCCTAAGACTCATGAGCTTTGCCTTTCTCACCCACCTCCCTGGCATTCCTGCCCTTGCTCACCATCATAGGTAACATAGGGGATCTGGAAGCCACGAGCACTGTTGGCCTCGCTTGTCTTAAAGTTGATCCAGAGCTTCCTGGACCGGGCTGTGAAGGCAATGGGCCGCTCGTAGGTCTGGCAGGTCTCATAGGTGGTAATGGAGGATGGTGAGGCTGGGAAGGCAAGCAGCAGGTCAGGAGAATAGCAGGGCAGGTTACCCAAGCCCTCGTGCAGGAGGGTGGTGGGGGCAAGGAGTCATGCTGACAGAGGCTCTCCCCCGTGCATGCACCTTCCCCACCCCAACACACACAGATCCTCTCCCACTGCCCTCTGCTTGTTCCACAACTCCTCTTTGATGTCCAGGCACTCAGAGTGTAAAAAATTTGACATTTAAGTGAAGGGAACAGCAAAAATGCTAGAACAGGAAAGTGACACGCGTAACACTATTGGAGTTCTAATCCCAATGCTGGCTTTCTTACTTCTGCTCTCCCCCAAACATAGAGCTTTCAGTTGTTAGCCTCTCTCCTCCCAAGGCCTCCCTTCTCACTGCCCCAATTCTTCCTGTCCCCATCTTCTCTCTCTCTCTTTCTCCCTCCCAACCAAATTTGAACTGCCCTTCCCTGGCCCAGCTCTGCAGCTACCCACAGTTCTTTCTCATGACGAGGACGTCCCCACACTCATCCTCAGATGGCAGGAAGATCTCGGGTACTACGATAAGGATCTTGCGCTTGGGTGGGGGGTTGATGTTCCAGATGCATTCCACGCCAGCTGGGTAGTTGCCTGGGTAGTTGGGGGACTCGATATAGCCAGTGAACTCACCCAGCTCCCCACCACACTGGCGATCTGCATCCAAACCCGGGTGTAAGAAAGAGAAGGGAAGTCAGTGGAGAAATGGGTTAGGGATGTTGAAACGTTTTGAAGTGAAAATCAGACATGTGTAGGCAGTTGCCTTCCTGGTTCATAGTCTCTTCTCCAAGTTCTGGGTCCACTTTCCTTTCCCCGCTCTTAGAACTTTCTCATCTCACTTCACCTCTCTGTCTCCCCATTACCTGTGTCCAGGGAGAGGGTGCCACAGGGCCCAGCCCAGCAACTGGTATTGGGATGGAGTGGGTTGGGAGAGATGGAGCGTGGGACTTTCCTGCCCACCCACTCCCTAGCCTTTCTCCCTATGGGTTTATTTATCCCACTCCCAACCTCTTCCCATGGCCATCGTTCCCAGGCCTCTCTACCCCCTTTTCCATCATCTGGCCTGCCACGTACTCTTGCACTGGGCCACACTGGTGGAGCCGTCAAAGTCAGTGCTTGTGTTTCCTGGACAGCGGGTGCAGAAGTTCTGACGGAAGTCGGGCTGATAGGAGCCCATGGCACAGCGGATACAGCGATGGATGCTGGTGTTGTAGTAGTGCCCGGGGGAGCACTGGACTGCAGGCAAGGGGGAAGGAAAGATAGGAGTTAAGATGGCAGGCAAGTGGGAATTCAGGGACATGGGATGAGCAGGATGAGCATTCATTGTGGAGAAGCAGGAGACTGAAGACACCAAAGTCCCTTCCAGGGTCCCAGCCTTTTCTAGTCATGCCAGAATTTAAGCCTAGGGAAAAACAGACTTGACAGACTAGTCAGCTACTATGCCAGTCCTTTTCTTTCAGGCACTGAACATCGTGCCAAATGCACAGAAACTCATTTGTAGTATTGAGGGGAATGTGCTACCAGTTCTCCAAAGCAGAGGAATAAATGGGATTGTTTTTTATTCCCTAATTCCTAGACTTGGGACCAGTGAGGGTCAGGATGTGTCCTCTGAGCAGGATGGTATGGCTGATCGAGTAGCTGGGCCCTTCCCAGGCTGGGGAAGGAGGTGGGGCAACACACTTAGGTTGACTCTGAGGACTTGGGAGAGTTTTTTGGAAGCAGTTCAAGTTGGGGAGTGTCCAAGTGACTAGCCCATTCACCTTTGGTGTCACAGTCTTGGAAGGAGATGGCCCCCTCATGCTTGGTGGTGAGGCCCCCACCACATGGGAAGCACAAGGTCCGTCCTGCTTCAGGTTGGTAGGTGCCACGTGGACATGGCTGGCAGGGCTTGAACCCGTCTACGGAGTATTGGCCAGGCAAACACTGACCTGCAATGAATCAAGGGCCCAGCTCTGATGGGGATGGTTCTGGTCATCCCCATAGGATTACCCAGTCTCAGGGGACAGAGGCACACAAACAGGACGCTGACGAGGAGAGTGGTCTGGAGCCTGGGCCTGCCCTTAGGATATCCCATGCCCGTGGGCGTCCCAGTGCCCACCCTACCCCGCTCTGTATTGTTCGTTCCCCTGGCACCTGCACACGTGGTGGCGTTGGTGGCTCCGAGAGGCCCGTGGGCATCACTCCCAGGGCAAAGGTCGCAGGAGAGCTGCCCTTCTCTCTCCTGGAAGGTGCCCGCTGGGCATGGCACACACTGCTCCGTCTGGCCGTGGTAATACGTTCCCTGCGGGCAGCTGACTGAGGGAGAGTCGGCCGTGCTAGCCACCCACCCCCCCCATTTCCCACCACCCAGGCCTGGGATTCCCCCTTCTGCCCCCACCGCCCCCCCCCAATTCAAGGAGCTTGGCTCTTTGTCTGGGAAGAGACAGAATCCTGCTTGGGAAGATCAGGGGCCAAAGCCACATACAGGAGGGTTGGTGACCCCTCTAGACCTGATACCCCCTAGATTTCAGCCTGGGACCAGGGAGAGGAGGATGATAGGCGGGAGGGTTTTGGCTGCCTCACAATGTGAGGTACAACTGAGGTCTTAAAGTGTCTTGCTCTGAGGCAGGCCCAAGTTGGGCCTTCCCCACTCCCCTGCTTCCCTTTTCCCCAGCAAGCTCCCTTACCACACTTAGCCCCGGTGCGGTGCTGCCCAGGCCTACAGGCCTCCACCAGCTCTGCTCGCTCCCCAGTTCCTGGGCCTGGCTTGTGCGCCAGTTCGTAATCAAGGCCTGCCAGGCGCAGCAGGAAGCGGTCCTGGTTGATGGACTTCCTAAGCATCTTCAGGGACCCTTTCAGCCGCCGTTCCATTCGCTGTCGGAGGCAGGGGAGTCCACAGGCAGCTGGTGGTAGATGATGGTGTGGGTCAGGGAAGGCAGAGAAAATGGCTGTGAGCAGGAGCGCAGGGAGCAGAGCTAGGAGCTAGGAGGGGCATGGTAAGAAACTGGCTCCTGGGCTTGGTGTTAGGCAGGGTCTGCCCTTGGTATAGGCACTGTCCCTTCCTTTCGCTGCTGAGACCCATGGTTTCCCCACCTCTGACCTCTTTCCTTCCACCCTCCTCCCAGCAGTGCCCCCAGTCCCACCTGTGGTTTCTTCGGCTCTGACCTCTGCTTCCAGTTCCAGGGTGAGCCGAGTGACTTCCTTGCCTGGAGGGGTCCGGGCCCGCCGGCCCTTGCCCTTCCGAGAGGAGTCACACTTGAGGTGGATGAAGGTGACCTGGCAGTCAGAGCAGGGGGCACCACCTGGGGAAGAGGATTTGTCAACCCCAGGGGCAGAAAAAGTACTTGCTCCCAGCTCTCACTGTTCCACCCCAACCCAGACAGACCTCACCAGACCTCTGCAACTATTTCAGTTTGCTTTTAATGTAGGATACCAATTATTTGAATGGAGATATTCCAGGACTTCCTTGGGCCCTATGCCTACAAAGCCTCTTCCCCGGCTCTGTCCAGAGTTCAGGACACCAGTCGGTTTTTTATCTCGCTAAGCAGAGGAGCTGAGGGGTGGGAAGGATGTGGTGGCCAGACAACCCGTTGGGGTGGGAGCCCCAGTCCAGACCTTGCCCCAGGATCCTGCTGGCCTCCTCCATTTTGCCTTTGTTTCGCAGATGCAGACGGCACTTGGCGTCCTTGATCTTGAAGGAGGCCCGCTGTTTAACCGACAGCACTGCAGCCTCTAGAGGGATGGTAGAAGCTCAGCACAGCCTGGGGACCCCGTGGGGATGGGAACTGCTGTGGAGGGTATCGAGAGGCTGGGCAATAAGCCAGGGGCTTGGCTGGAGAAGGATTATGAAAGCTGGGGGAATCAGATGTTAGGGGCAGAGGGAGTGAGGCAGAAGGGCTGAAGAATGACAGAGCAAGGGAGGGGACCCAAGAAAAAGTAAGACCAGGAGGATTAATGAAGAGAAACGGGTTACTAAGTAAGAGAGTAAGGTGGGAACAAGGCCTCTGGGCTGGTGCTCACCATGGCAGTGGTTGGAGTTTGTGCTGTTCCCGGTGGGGCCAGCTCGGGCTGGAGTGGCCCTTGGGCTGGGGGTGCCACAGCTCACCGTGAAGCCATTCTCAGACTCTGAGAGAAGGGGGCTGTCACAGCTCTGACCTGCCCCCACCCCCAACACCTACTGGTTGGAGTAATGCAAGGGAAGCAGAAGAGCTCCCTGCACTTTCCTCCCTGCCAGCCTCATGTACCTGGCAAAAACCGGGCCCGGGAGGGGCAGGTCAGGGCACAGGTGTCCTTCTTGCCAGACCGGTTGCAGCTGAGCATGGCTTTCGAGGCACCAGGACTGCTTTGACATTTTACCGGCTCTAGGAAGGGGAGAGAGGCCTGAGGAGGAGAGGGCCTTCCTCTCCCACCCTCCTCCATGATTTGCTAATATTGGGAGGAAGAGAATTAGCTACCTGCAGAACTATGACTGTAAACAGAGACCGATGAGGGGATTCTTTACCAGAAACTTCATGTCTCTAACTCAAATGACTACATTCTCCTCCCCTACAGCCTCACAGCTTCTTCAGCGTGGAAGGACCCCACTTCCAAGACCCCAATTTCCAACCTCGCCAGAGTGCAGTGCCATCTCTGGCCAGCAGAGGGTGTTGCCCACCTGTGCAATCTTTGCCGTTCCAGTGCAGCCGGCCCTGGCCAGTGGGACAGGTACACTGGTAGCTGCCAGGAGTGTTGATGCAGCCGAAGCGGCAACCTCCACGGTTGACGCTGCACTCATCCACATCTGGGGGAAGGAGTAGGGAGACACCAACAATGGCAGGGCGGAGCAGGAGCCACAGAGCGGGCAGTGAGTGAGGACCTCTGCTTAGAGTTCCAGGCAGGACCTCGCTCCCTTATCTCTGCCCCCAAAGAACGACTGACTGGGAAGGGGCCCAGCTGACAAGCTTTTTAAAGCCTTCCACTCCTTCATACCACTGGAACTGGAATTTGGAAGTTGAGGATGGGAGTCAAGAAGCAGCGATGGGTAGGAGATAGACATTATGGAGGCAGAATGCTGTTCCTTGATCTTGTCTCCTAGTTGTGTCTTAATTTCTCCCAGGTCATACAATGGACACAGACATGGCACATGCCCCTGGGAACTTCCCAGAGCCACACACCAACTCAGGAACTTGTTTAGCAAAAGGGTATGGAGGTGAGAGGGGCCCTGGTGGTGGAGGGTCTGAATTTGCTGGCTTACCCCCACAGTGGGTGACTCCATATAGCAGGTAGCCATGATGGCAGAGGCACTGGAAACTTCCCGGTGTGTTGACGCATATGTGGTCACAGGTTCGATCAAAAGAACACTCGTCTATATCTGGAAGAACAGGGATGCAAGCCACTGAATCTGTCTTGGGGTACTTGACCTTGGGACCCTTTGGTCAGGTGGAGGACCCACTTGAGGGGCCTTGACCCTCCCTCATGGCCCAGCCCTAGGATCAGCGATTTAGCAGTGCCTACCCATCCCCTGTCCCCCCTCCACTCAGTCAGGAACTGTGAGATATGGTGCCCATGGATCAGGGCCGCCATATGTGGTTAGGCAGGTCAGATCCTGCCAAGGATTTGAATTAGGGAGAAATCCATTCCTCCTCCTTGCCAAGAGCAAGGCAGAGCTGGTCTGTCAAGAGGAAGGGGTACATTTGTTAATTTCAGCATGACACTGCTTATGCAAACTCTCCACTGTATCCACTGACTTTCTCAGACTCTGGCACTCTGGCCTCCTTGAAGCTCTCCTACCCGTAGAACCTCTCCCAAGGCTTTCCCCTTGGCCCATGTCTGCTCACCCTGGCAGTTCCTCTCATTGATGAGAAGCTTATAGCCCTTCTTGCAGCTGCATTCAAAGCTGCCCACTGTGTTGCGGCAAATGTGGTCACAGCCCCCATTGTTCAAGCGGCACTCGTCTATGTCTGGGGAAGCAGGACAAAGTAGATAGAACCAAAGGTGATACCAAAGCCTGGGGACAACAAATAAGGAGATGACCTCCCTCCCTCCCTCACAGAGACAGAGAAAATCAAGCAGAGCCCTGGGCCTGCCATTCTGACTCCCCTCTCACTCTCTAGTCTCTGTTTCTTCCCTGTTCATGGGATCTGTGGTCATTAGGAACACCTTTCCTGAGACTGAACCCTGTTAGAAGGGGGCAGATGGGAAGCAGAGTCAGGCCCACAGGGAATTGCCTGGAGTAGGAAGTAGGTAGGCATTTGAATCAGGGGGCTAGTTTCTGCCCTTCATTATGCGATGACGGCCCTTCGCCAAAAGGCTGGTGGATAAGGTTTATCCCTTGATGTCCCCTACCCCTCCTGACCTGAGAGCCCTAGGTAATGGTGTGGGGGCTGGCACAGAGAGGTGGAGATTCAAAGGGGCAGCCCCTCAGAGAGGAGGAGCTGGGAGAGAGTCAGGCACGGGACCTCCAGGAGAGCCAGTGAGGCTGGGTAGCTGCTGGGGGAGGGGTAGGGGCCAGCCCGGGGGCTGGATTGGGAGAGGTCTGGAGAGGCTCAGGCCTGAGGCGGCTTTCAGCACTAGGAAGGGAAGGGGGGCCCGTGAGCAGCTTCCTTCCTGAGGTCAAGTTCCCCAAGCTGGTGGCAGACAGGACCCAGGCTACTCACCCCTACTTGGGGGAGGGGGCAGAGAGAGCAGTCTTCCACTTTACTCTCAGCATACCTGTCAACAGTTCTTCCCAGCAGGAAACCTCTCAACTCTGGCTGTCTGACCTGCTGCCCCAGCCCTCCCTGTCTCCCCATCCTCTCTGCCAGCTGCTGGGCCAAAAGACACAAAGAAGGAGCCCAGTCCTCTTTCCAGTCCTCCTTGTGACCAGGGGACACAGACCTGATGAATCATTATTTTCAGTAGGGCTACCCTCCCTTTTTCCTCCCCCACTCCACCGTTCTCCCAGACCGGGCTTAATAAAAGGAAGGAGAACAGGATGGGCAATGTGGGAAATTATACCATAGTAATAGTTAACACAAGACACTTACCATTTGTCAGGTACTATTCTAAGTACTTTATATATAATTTATATTTAACTGATCTAATCCTTACGACAAGCACCATTATTGTAGTGGAACTGAGGCAAAGACACTAAGTAACTTGCCCAGGATTGCAGAGCTGGTGTCTGAACCCGGGTAGCCAGGCTCCAGCATCAGCACTCCCAACTGCCACCCTCTTCTCCCTCTGACCAGTGTAGCCTTTCCACTTGGAAAGGTCTGGGGAATGTGGGTTAAGAAGGTTATGGAACACATCTGTGACCTTGTACACACACAGTCAGGGTTCAAATATCCTTCTAGACCCAGGGACAAATGAGAATGGCATGTTCATTAAGCAAGAGGGTTAGGGACCCATGGGGGATAGGAATGAGAGTAAGGAAAACAATGTTGGGTTGGGGCAGGGAGCAGTGCTGGCAGACTTTTATGCCCCTTGAGCTGAGGTGGGAAAGGCGGACAAGAGACAAGCCTTAGCCATACCCTCAGTTCTTTATAATCAGACAGCCTTGAGGAGCTCCTGTAATAGGTACTGTATCTCTTGTCCCAAACTCAGCCCCTTGCTCCGATGCTCCTCTCCTCTGAGAGCCCTTACCTTTGCAGGTCTTCCTGTCCGGCTGCAGCATGAAGCCCACGGGGCAGCTGCAGTGGACGCCTGTGGCTGCATCGTGGCACTTACTGTCACAGCCCCCATTGTTGACAGCACAGGTCTCTGTTTAGGAGGGAGGTGGGGGGTGGTAACTGGGTTACTGGCTTGGAGGAGTCCCAAACTCGAGGGGAGTAGAGAGCACAGAGGCACGAGGGAAGGCTTCAGCTGCCTCCCTGTGCTTTCGAAGGAGCATTCAGTGGAGGCTCCCAGCCCCCTTCCTCCCACCGCTCCCAGCCCCCATCCCCTCACAAGTGCAGCCAAGCAGTCCGCTTCCCTGCCCCCTACTTGATTGAAACAAGGTGGACAGCAGTGAGGCAGGTACAAGCCAGAGCTGTCAGGCAGGAATGTGCTGAGGGGGTGGAGGAGGTGGAGCGGGGAGGGTGCAGGGAGCGATGGGAGCTAAGGAAGGGTGGTTCTCGGCTGCCAGGGAACAAGAAGGGACAGATAGGGGTTTCCTCCTTTTTTCCACCCACTATCTCTCTGGTGTCAGGGTGGGATAGTCTTGGGAAGAGTGAGCCTGAGGATCCCTAAGAGAGCCGAGGGATGGCCACCAATTCATCTTTCTCTTCCTCCTTGCTCAGCTGTCTTTAAAAAAGATCCCAGTTCCAGGCCTGACCGCTCATCCTCAGAGGAGAGGCACATACTTGGTCATTTCCCAGCCCCTTCCCAGCTACCTCCAACTCCTCCCAAGCCCTCCTTTTAGTTTCAGATGGAGATAACTGGCTGTTCCGTTTTTGTTTTCCTTTCTAATGAGGAGAGACTGCCTAGGTGAAAGAGGGGGACAAAAGGAGAAGAATCCAGAGGACAAGGCAGGGTATAAGAAGGTAGATGAGAGCCAGAGAACCTCAAAGCTAAGTCACTTCTATTGCCCCCTCTTGAATGGTAAGTTCTCTCTTTGCTGTGGGTGTCGTAATAGGGGGAGTATGGATGGGTCACTCTCCCTATTTCCTGAATTCAGAGCAGGACATAAACAAATTTAAACTGCAGCTCAGAAGAGTCAGGTAAACTCAGGGGAAAACCATCAGTTCAAATAGCACAAGGCCCCGACGCAGGGACTCTGGAGGAGGTGCGGGCCATCCTCTGAGGAGGCCCTAGATCTCCCCCTTTGGAGAGACAAAATCCCAAGCTCTCTCCTAGGGAAGAAAAGAGAGTGGTTCTTTGAATCAAGGGAACTGAATGAGAAAAGCAGCAGAGAATACTATCATCTTCTTAAATCTTTCAGTCCTAAAACCCAGGCCTTGTAACCAAGGAGACCACCAATGCAAGGGTTCTAGAAGAAGCCCAACTCTGCCTGTTGGTCCCCAGTCATGCCCCATTTGCTCAAATGCCCAGGTTGGGAGTAGCCACAGTGGGATCTCCTGTGTGCCACTGCCACCCTGGTCTCCTGTGGTTCCCCAAGACCATGGGAGGAACCTGGGAAGGAAACTTGAATTCAGTCTCCAAGCCTAGTCATTCCCCCAAGAGTGCTCTTAGCATAAGAAGAGGTCTCCCAAGCCCTAGAGCAGGGAGAGAGGAACAGAGATCCTGTGCCAAGACTGGGTGGGTTCGGAGGGACCCAGGGTTGGGAGCTGCGGAGCTGACACGATGTCCATCCAGGTCAGACCAGGGAGCCGGGCATAGCTGCCCTCCCTCACAGGGCGGTGTTCACCAGGCCAGGGTTGGGACAGCTCTTCATGTCGTGGTATTAAACCACAGTTTAATCTGTACTTGCTCTGTGCCAGGCACTTAGACGCTCTGCACACACGGTCTCAATTTTCTCAGCAACCCAAAGGGAGAATTCTTGTCTCCCTGTCTACAGAAGAGTTAACTGAGGATCAGAAAAGAAAGTAGCTTCCTGGAGGTTGTATAGTTAGAAAGTGGCAGGGGCAGGATTCGAACTCAGGTCAGTCTGAATTCAGATGTCATGCTGGTACCCATTATGGTGGGACAGAATGGTGAGTGGCACTGGGACTGTGAGCTGGTGTGGGTAAGAACCCAAGGACACGGCCCCAAGGAGGGCATGGCCTCGAACTCTATCCCACCCCTGTCTCAGCCACCTAATGGGCACAACGGGAGAGCTGGAGCTGCTGGGTCTTTGCTGTGTGGAAGGCAGAGAGAGGGAAGGGGCAGATGGTTGGAAAGGGGTGAGGTGTTAGAAGGTGGGAGAGGGAGAAGGTGGCAGGAGGAAGCAGGAGAGGAGAGGGACAGAAACAAAGAAAGACAAAAACAACATGAAGGCTCCTGGGCCAGCTCTTGGGGACTCAGGTGTCCTGTCACCCCATGGGCCCAGTACCCAGGCTGCAGGGGAGCCCTGCTGGTAGGCTGGAGTCCAGTCAGGCTGGGCCCAGTGGGCATGCAGTTAGTGGGAGCCCCAGCGGGTTAGCCCTTCCCCTAGCAAGCCAGTGAGAGCAAGCGGAGAGAGCAGACATATTTACCATTAGAAACGGCCTGAGGGGGGATGTGCTGCTCTAGCCGCCTTTCCCCTGTTTGACATTGTAAAAAAGCTGTTTAGATGCTGGGCAACAGCCACTGGGGCCCACTGGGCCCCTGCCCCCTCCCCACCCTCCTCCACCCCTGTAGCCCCAAACCACTAGCCCCCAGTGATGAGCCCGGGGGCTCCTACACTTAGCTCCCCAGCCTTGTCCTGCCCGGTATCCTCAAAGAAGCCAGGTTCCCACCAGGTGACTGAGGGAAAACAGAGTCCCAGAGAGGGGCCGTCTTGGGCCCGGTACCACACAGCACGCCAAAGGCAGAGCTGGGATGCAGTCTCACATCTTATAAACTGCCAAATCCCAAAGGGTGCCCACCCTTTTTGCTAAACTATACTGTCCTCTCCGTCTCCCCACTAAATGTGGACGTCCTGGCGGCCCCGAACAATGAAGTTTCCTCTACCAGGGCTGGGAAGAAAAATGAGATTAGGGCAAGGCAAACTAAGGGCTATTGGAGAGGAGGGAGAGGAACATGGGAAGAATAAAACCGTGAAGCCTAGAGCTGCCTCATTTGCTCTCTTCTGCCTCGCTTGGCCATGGTCCAGAAGGCAGGATGGGTCTTGCATTAGAGAAGAGCTCAAGCTTACTAGGGGTATTTTCAAAAGCAGCCATGCCCAGGACTATCTGAACAGAAGGCAACCAGAGAGGGACCTGGCCCCACATTCATGGGTCCAAGCTCTGTCCTGATACATGCAGCTTTTCTTTGGGGACCGCATGCAGTTTTTTGGGGGGGACTCTGGGGATGTGTGAGTGTGTCCAGGGGATGGTGGGAGGTTTAGGAAGCAGAAGAATTCAACCTAGGAGGAAAAAAAAAATGAAAGGAGCTGGAACAAACTAGCTAGGAGAAGGCGACATGAAGATTTTAAAATGTCCCAGGGTCTTTCAAGGGTTAGTTCAGAGGGAAACATGGAGTGGGAGAGAGTTTAATTAAAGACATTTAGAGCCCTTTGTGCGAGTCTGGGGCAGGTGCTCAGAGGACACCTTTAAGAGCATCGTTTGCTCCCCTGTTCTTGTGTCTGAGGATTAGGACAGTGCTGTCTGCAGAGACAGGTGGGGTCACTGGAGAGAGATGGGGAGAGTCTAGTTCTTAAGCTGAATGTCACATCTCTGACAAATGCACAGAGCGACTGTGTTCATGCTTCCTCGTCCTCCGCATGTTGTGGCCCTTGAGATGACCGGCGTCTGTAAATACCCGTGCCCACAGAACACGCTTGCTCCTGCCTGGCTCCAGACATAGCCCTTCCCCAGGCCCAAACCCTTCCCTTCCATTTCCCCCTTCTCCAGGGGGACGCCTTGTCCCATCGTCTTTCTCAGCAGTCTGTGAGCACATAGTAATTGGCCTTCACAAAAGTCCTAAAGACAGAAGGGGTGAGGAATTAAACTTTAGGGATCAAGGAATTAAACCCATCTATGATACCTGAACGTATGTGAGGTGAGGCCTAGGAATTCAGGAAAAGGGATCCAGGTCTTAAGAAGGCCCCAACAAAGGCTAGAGGGATGGAAGGCTGGAGCTGTTGGGGCAGTGGAGGGCTGCAGGCAGAGGTGGGGAGGAAACAGAAGGGAATGAGGGCTGGGGGGAGGGGAACGGGCAGGGGTACACAGGACAGAGAGGAAGAAGAAGCCTGGAGTCAGAAAACCCCATTTGTCAGATCAGGGCTGGTTGTTTTATTGCCACTTTGGCAACACTTTATCCTGGGTAAAGAAGATAGCCGGGGCCCCGGGGATGAGGCAGGAGAGCTTGCTGGCCGGGGAGGAGAAGAGGGTAAGCTCTCAGAGTTGTCCCTCCCTAGACCTGGCCTTGTTGTCTGGCTCTTCAGTCCACTCACAGTCATTCTGCGCCCAGCACCCAGGCCCCAGGTGCTCCCCCCTTCCGTGGTGCCCCCATCCCCGGTGAAGTCCCGTTCAGGGGCCTCACCCACCGATGCAAGTCTTCCCGTCCGTATGGAGAACAAACTTGACATGGCAGCCGCACCGGGGACCCTGCTCTGTGTCATCGCACGTGTGCTGGCAGCCACCATTGCCATAGTTGCATGTCACTGTGCAGAGAGGGCGGGAGGCCTGTCAGCTTGCTGCTCCTTGGGCAGCCCGGAGACTGGCCCTCTGCTCTAGTTGCCGCTCCCACATTCCATCTTCCTCCCACGTCTTGCTGCCCAGTCCCCATGCACTTCCTCTTTGTCGCTCCTTCTCCCCCACCGCCATCCCAGTTATCTCACGTTTACAGTCCCGTTGGTTCTTGGTGAGCTCGAAGCCAGGGCGGCATTCACAGGCAATACCCCCTTTGGGTGTCTCCCGGCAAATGTGAGCACAGCCGTGGTTCTTATTCATGCAATTCATTCCTTCTAAAAGGGAAGAGGAGGGAGGTGAGTGTTCTGCAACCCTGGATGCCTGGAGGAGGAGGAAGGAAGGGGACAGTGGAGCCTAGGAGAGTGAGGGAATCCACTGAAGCTGCAACAGAGGCAGGAGAGGGATTCCCCCTTGCCAGCCCCCACCTGCCCAGAGCTGGGTGCTAATGAGTGGGGCACAGAGCCATTCTGATGTATAGGTATTGATACCCAACCCCCCAAAACCCTGCACAAGCACCCTCTCCTTCAGACAACCAAAAAGCAGTGTCTTATAGTTACCCAGCACTGTGCTGGGTACTGGTGGATTTAGGAAGGACCCAGGTGCGCCTGGTTGGCTCAGTGGGTTAAGCCTCTGCCTTCGGCTCAGGTCATGATCTCAGGGTCCTGGGATCGAGCCCCGCATCAGGCTCTCTGCTCAGCAGGGAGCCTGCTTCCCCCTCTCTCCCTCTCCCTGCCTCTCTGCCTACTTGTGATCTCTGTCAAATCAATAAAATCTTAAAAGAAAAAAAAAAAAAAGGAAGGACCCAGAAAAAAAGCAAAACAAAACAATCCACATCTCTTAGGGCACCTGGCTGGCTCAGTTGGCGGAGCGTGCAACTCTTGATCTCGGGGCTGTAAGTCTGAGCCCCATGTCGGGTGTGGAGATTACTTAAAATCTTTAAAACAAACAAGATTTAAAACAAATCTTTCCTCGAAGAGTGTATAGTCAAACCAGGAAGAAGATAATAATGTGGGTGGGAAGTAATTGGTACTGATAATAACCATAAGATTTTTTTAAAGTAAACTCTGCACCCTCCATGGGGCTCCAGCTCACAACCCAAGACCAAGAGTCACATGTTCCACCAACTGAGCCAGCTGAGTGCCCCTCATTACTACAAGATTTTACTCAACAAATACGTATTAAGCTCCCCACTACATGCAGAGCAGTATATTAGGTTCTGGAGACCAAAAGACAAATTAGACATAGTCCCTGCCCTCAGGGATGTCACAGTCTTGGGGTGGGGTGGGAGGCAGAGTCACAGAAACAGACAGTACCCCCCTCTTCCTGCCTCACGCTCCCTATCCCATCAACGAATAAGGCATGGGTGAGACCCTCAGATAACAGCAGCTTAGAGCTCAGCCATCCACAATTAGGCAATGTCATGCCTAACTGACCCACTTTGAGTCAGGATACAGAGGACACCCCATAGTAACCTCAACCCCACACTGATCCCAACTCCAAACATATTCCCCCAGATTTTGCTCCAATCCGGTATCTGTCCATGGAGCCCTCAGGATGTGACTGGGTTGAGGGATGAGAGAGGAAGGAGCCAGTGGAGTTGAGAGCAGAGGGTGAGTCCTAGTGGGTATTGAGGGAAAACACCCCCACTGATGGAGAGAAGCCTGGGAGCATAGGGCTGGGCCCTCCTGGGTCATGGGCTGACCTTCTGGCCGCTGGATGCAGGTGTGCTGGTTGTCGCTGAGGAAGAAGCCCTCCCGGCAGTGGCACTCATAGCTGCCCATCATGTTGATGCAGCTCTGCTGACATCCACCATTGCCCTCGGCGCACTCGTCCACATCTGTGTAGGATGGGTGGTTGGTGAGGCCATGGGATGGAGGCCAGGCTCCAGAGTGTGCCTCGAGACTTCAGGAGACCCTCCCCACCCCAATGCAGCACCCAGCCGTAGGCCAGAAAGTTCTCACTCACTCATCAGCTAATGTTCCACTGCTCTTGAAGAGGCCGCCCTCTGAGGGCAGAGCTGGGGAGCTAAGCCAGTGGAGAGGGGAGAGTTGAACCTGTCTCTCCTGTGTGAGGATTTGCTCCCTTTCCCTCACTTGTTGGAATTGGGTGTGAGCACAGAGGAAATCAGGAAAGGAGCCAGGGCAAGAGGAACAGGGATGGCGGTAAGGATGGGGATTGGTCAGGGAGAGGAGCTGAGGCATGGCTGCAGCCAGGGAATGAGAGAACTTGGAACTGGCTCCAAGAGCAGGGAGAGCTGTGGCCATGGCGCTAGGTCTGGGGGCCAACATGGGTAGAGGCAGCAAGCCTCAACTCCTTGCAGGGCAGGGACCATTTCTGTGGACAGGCCACGGCCCCATCCTTCCTCCCCTCCCCCCAAGCCTGGGCTTGCTGCCATAGTCCCTAGCCTTTCTCCTATTTTGGTTTAACAAAACAGTCTGGTGGCTTGGCGGGGAGGGGTGGGAGGAGAGCTGCCAGGCCACACCCTAATTACCACCCCAAATCACCACCCCCAAGTCCCAGAGCCAAGCTCATTCTGGGGCTCCCACTTCAATGCCTTGACTCCATCTCTGTGCTACCTACTGCCCTCCCCAGTCCCTAGCCCTTCTTGGTTTTTCTTGGCCCAGCAGGCATCCGGGAGATTGGTCTCCAAACAGAGTAGCTGGAATTTGAGCTCCTGAGGCCCTATTCTGCCCCTCTCTTCCCATCCTCCCTGCTGAGCCCTGAAACCCTGTCCTTTCCCCCTTCTGGCCAAGGGCAGAAGGGTACAGATCCAGCAGGCTCCTGCTTGAGAGAGGGACCTGGTATAAAGTCAAGGAGGTATACTTTCCTTTGCCTTATTCCTGTCCCTTCCCCCTCTCTCACTATAGCCCTGACTTCTCCCCATTCTTGTCTTCCCACTGTCCCATCCTACAGTCCATCCTTCTGTTTGCTCCCTTCTATGCAACCTTGTGATTTTGCTGCTCTTTAGCCAAGTTCCTTCCTCTAATTCTCAGTGGAGAAACTGAGGCCCAGGGCATGGATGACTTAGGGTTCCCCTACAAGCCAGAGGTTGAGTTGAGACTTTGAACCCCAAGGGTAGGGTTAGGTAGAACTTTGTTCCCCCTTGCTCTTTCCATACCTACTCATTCTCTTAACTTCTGGTTAGTTCTCCCCAAAACACAGGGAAACAAGACTTGGTGAGAATCAGGGGCTTAGAAAGGTGAAAGGCAATCAAAGAACTTCTCGTCCGGTGGGAAACTCATCCCTTTTCTTTCCGAGGGAGTCCCTAAAGAGGCCCTCTTGGGTGACTGGGCAGAAAAGAAGTGAGATCCTTCCCTAGTAGAAGAGATGGCCAGGGCTGCGGGGATGGGCCCAGCAGGGCTCAGGCTATAGAGGCCCGGGTTGGGAATAGAAACCTAAAAGCCTGGCCCAAAAATGGGACATGACTGGGTCTAGAGGCAGCTCTGCAGGCTGTCCTAGACTAATGGAGCCTCAGATAATTCATCAGTTTGGTCAGGTGGGGAAGAAGCGTAGCCACTTTTCTGGGCATCATTCCTCCTCTCTTCCTTTCCTGGTCTTCTAGTCCTTTAGTCTCCTACTTTTGTTCTGACACCAGGAAGAATGTGGAAAAGGACCCCCGGCTTCACGTTTCAAATCCTTTTCTGCTATGGGCTTCAGTGTTGCTACTTGCGGAAGAATCTGACATGGTCCCAGTAATTTTCCAAACTGATAACAGACCAAAGTTGAGGGGAGTTCCTTAGAGATTCTCCTATCTCTGACCCAGCTCCTGGGTCAAGGATCAGGTCAGATGGAGGCCTAAGAAGTAAGGAGAGGAGGGCCTGGAGATTACAGGACGAGCTGGAAGAAAACCAGTCTTTAAGGGTCAGAGGCTCCTCAGGACCCATGGGGGGCATCATTGTCATCATCAAACATTCCTCCCATTTACTGAAGTGTGGAGCCAAATCACCTTCCCGCCATGCTCTGCTCCCTACATCTCCACCCACTATTGTCATCTTCTGGCCCTTGCCCTGGGAGCACTTTCTAGCAGCATCTCCTCTGATGTTTTTCATCCAGCCCCAGGATTATTTCATCCTCAGCACCCGGTCTCAAAGGGGAGGCTGACCTTGTTTTCTATTTTGCAAGAATGCAGCTTTTTGATCACCTTCATCTCCTTGCCTGGGCAGTGGGAAATGCCAGAAACGGCTCCTTCCCCACAAGACAGCCCCTCTGCCCACACTTCCTCTCCCTCCCCTTGGCTCACCCAGACAGTTGTGTCCGTCATGTGCCAGGTGGAATCCGTCATAGCAGGTGCATCGGTAATTGCCAGGGATGTTGACACAGTCGTGCACACAACCGGCATTGTCTTCTCGTTCACACTCATCCACATCTGTTGGGCAAAGAGGATCTGAGGCAGCTGGCCCACCAGCATGCCCCCCACTGTCCACCCCTGGGCTCAGCCCTGTGGTGGTTTGAATATATGTATGTGTGTATATATATCGTCTCTGTGTATGTGTGTTTTCATAGTTACTTTCATAGCCTACAAACCATTTTGCATTTTGCTGTTTTCATCTCACCTTAAGTCATAGGGGCACCTGGGTAGCTCAGCTGGTTAAATGTCATGATCTTGATTTGGCTCAGGTCATGATCTGAGGGTTGTGAGTTCGAGCCCTGCATCAGGCTCCACGCTGTGCATGCAGCCTGCTTAGGATTCTCTCTCCCCCCCATCCCTCTGCTCCTCCCCATCCCCTCTCTATCAATCAATCAATCAATCTAAATAAACTTAAGTCATAAACATTTTCAGATGTCTCCACCCAGTCTTTCTAATCACCATGGTACGTGGTTGCAGAACATTTCATTGTGTTGCTATATCATAATTTATTCATCCTTCTGCTATTGTCGGATTTCTTCCATTTATTTTACTATCATAAATAATGCAAAAAGAACATCTTCTCTAGTATTATTTTGTTTCTTTGAATTTCCCTTGAATAAGTCCCTGAGAATAAAATTTCTGGGTCAAAGGGTATAATTAACCTTTTAAGATTCCTGCTAGATAACAAAATCACTTTTCAATTTATAATATCACCAAGAATTAATGAGTGTACCCTGTCTGCTACACTCTTACCAGCACTGAAGGTCATACATTGAAAATAACATCTGAAGCGTGCTTTAATTTGCATGGCTTTAATTATGAGAGGGGAAGAATGTGCTTGTTTATGGTATGAATTCCCCCTGGGATAAACTGTCTGTTCTCATCCTATGTGGGAACAGTAGAAGGGTCTAGAGATGGAGGTTCCAATGTCAGGGTACCTCAGGCCTCAGTCCCATGATTCTGACTCCCCACCCAGCCAAGCTGGGAGGCTGTGAACTCTTCCCATCAGAGCCTTGGCTAGCCTCAATGGTGCCCTCTCTGGGGTAAGAACAGCCACCCCTCCCAACCCCCTTCCTGGAGCCCACAGGGACTGTAGGCCTTACTGTCATGCACAGTATGGCCAAGGGCAGTGGCACTGACCTCCCCTCCCGGGCACCCTCCCAGCCTCACCTTTGCAGTGTTTACCATCCCCTGTGTAGCCAGACTTGCAGATGCACTTGTACGACCGTGGGGTGTTCTGGCAGATGGCATCGATGTGGCAGTTGTCAGTCCCCTCCACGCATTCATCCACATCTGGCAGGGGCAGAGGGGACACGTGAGACCCTCTGTCAGTGCATCCCAAGGGCTGTCTTGAAGGTGGTTCCTCAAGGGCAAAAGCCCCTCTCCTCTAAAATATGGATCGTGACCCCTCCCCCTCCAAGAGCAGGCTTCACACTCTTCGGATTTCAGAGTGGGTCGACTCTGTAATTTCAGGAATTCAAAAAGCATCCCCACTCTCCTCAGAAATACTTAATCCATAATGACAGCTAAAATTCCATCATTTGAAATACTCCTCTTTGATTTAAAAACAAACAAAACCTCTTGGACTGGGTAGCACACTTACCTTGATTCAAAATATTCAACTTAGTGTGAATTAGTTTACCTCTCTTGGAAGCAGACTTGGGGGGCGGGGGAGAGGCATGGGGACAGTGGCCTCTGGGAAAGTGGCAGGGTCCCGCGGCCCTCGGTAATGGAAGAAAGGGAGAAGACAGGGCACCCAAGAAATCCTCTTCAGCCTCACAGTTCTGCTTGAGACCAGGCCTGCTCCCACTTGCCCACCACGGTGCCAAGAATCTTTAGAGGAAGAAGTTCCATCCTGAAGATTTCCCTCAGCCCTTGTGCTGTCAACAGCAGAGGACCAGGACTGGGCAGGGGCTGGTACCAGCAACCTGAAGCCTGATCAGTGGGGCTCTTGTGACTCTCTGGCTGACTCTGACTTGTCCAGCCCGCCACCCTGAACTCTCCCATCTAACCCAAGGTACTCCTCTCACTCCTGGCTCACTCGGACACGTGGTGCTCCTCACGGAGCTCTGCTGAAGGAAAAGGCCACCCAAGATCTAGCAAAAAGAGGATGGTTCTGAAAGGACAGAGCCAAAAAAAACCCATTTATCCTCTTTGGGCAAAAGAATTCAACTTTGGGGGCAATGTTACGGTGCAGATAAAGGAGAGCGAAAATATGGCAACAGGTTGCATTCAGTTGAAAACGTTTTACGGGGTGTGTTTGCAAAAGGTACTGTGCTGAAGACTGTTGACTTGGCCCAGCCAGGAGACAAGGAACATGAGGTAGGGTGTCGTTGAGTGCCACAGACACAGTAGACATAAGGTGAGGGGTTCCTCAACCCTGGCAACACGTCGTCAGAGTTAACTCCCCTAGGAGATGCCCAGCACCATCACCAGAGGTCCTGGTCAATGAGCCCACAGTATTTTTTGAATGCTCCCTGGGTGAGTCCAACAGGCAGCCAGGCTGGAGAATCTCTGTGAAAAGGAAGATGAGAGGAGGAAGGGACTACTTCTAACTGTGAACTGGGGAACCCAAGCATAGAGGTAACCACCTGCAAATAAAGAAATGGGATTTGCAGTAAAGACAGCAGACTGTAACCTTCCTGGCTTTTGTTAAAATGCCGATTCTCAGGCCGCAATCGCCAAACTATGGGATCCAAATCCTTAAGGTGCTTGATATATTTTAACAGAATGTGAATGAATGAGTGGACCAGTAATCCCTCCAATTTATAGATACCGGAGAGTCCTAGCTTGAAACAGTCAGTTGTCCTCTGATTTTAGGTTTCAAGGAATGCTTCAGGGGCAGGACTGAGGCTTCCTGGGGCAAAGAAGAGAACTGAAATTTGGAAAAGTGCCTCCAAATATCCTGCCTCCAGTCTTCTGAGCTTCCATTCAGCTCTGCACTCTGCTTTACAACTCTGACTCCTTTGCAGCCGTCTGCCACGGCCCGTGATTCCAAGTGCTGTAACTCACACTTACTCTCAGACTCCTTCAGGTTCTGCAGTCATGGTGTCTGCCTGCTGTGGCCCACTCTGAGAATTCATCCCCAGATGAAAGCACAGAGAAGAGGGGCATGAAGACTAGTTCGTAAGAGAGGGCAAGAAGGACAGTAGATAGCGAGAGGTGGTGTGGAGTATCAGTAGGTGCAACCGATGGAGAAAATACATGGGAAAAAGAAATGCACTCTCATAAAAAGATCCTAAGCTCTGAAACGAGTAAGTCCCAGATTCAAATCCAGCTCTATCTTTCTAGGGAGGCTTTTCTGATTCTCTTCTTTCTTCCTCTTTAAAATGGGGATAATACCTTCTCGTGAGAGTCTGTGAGCAGTTGATGAGATAATCTGTGTAACGTTTTATATATATATATATATATATACACACACACACACACACAGACACACACACACATATATGTATATATATATAAAATATTGTATAATAATATAACATATGTATATTATATGTATATATATATATATAAAATAAAAAATCTGGGAAATAGGTTCCTGATGTCCAGAAGCTGGTTCAGACAACAGATGCTCTAGGACTGTGCTGTCTATGGTGGTAGCCATGAAGCACCAATGGCTGTTTTAAATTTAAGTTAGTTTGAAATTCAGTTGCACTAGGCCAAGTGCTCAATGGCCATTTGTGGCTAATGGCCACCACCAATGGAGAGCACTTCCAACATCACAGGAAGTTCTACTGGAGTGCTGTTCTCGGAGCTAAGAAGAGATACTCCTAGGCTGGGGTGGACCAAAAAACCTCCTGAGCAGCAGGATTCAAGTTGGGTTTTGGAGACTAGATCGGCATTTGACCGTCAGGGGAGGAAAGAGGAAATTTCAAGTGTGGTTAAACACGTGAAGAAAGACAAGGTACCCAGAGACCCAAGTCCACATTCTCTGTCCCCACATTTAAACACGCTCTTGTGAGTCTTCCAGGTAGCCTGGGACATTGGACAATCCCAGTGACAAATGATCATTCCGTCCATCCTCTTTGAGCCTTCTTCTGTCTCTTACCATCCCTTCCCTAGCAGTCAGCAGGGCAATTTGGAAACCCGTCGGAAGCCCTTCCTCTAGGGACATCTCAGAAGGACATGCCAGTCTCTGAATCTTTGGATGCTTCTCTGGAATCTGCAGGAGGCTATCTGGGCTCTCCGTTCTTTGCTTTGCCTCCAGTTCTGTGCTTACTAGGACCAGAGTGCCCCTGAGGCTGGTGGCAGCAAACCCAGGCTTCCCAGCAGATCCTGTAGCCCCTTCCAGCAGCTGGGCTCTTCCCACCATCCTACCCACTCCCTCATCGCCCTGCTCCCACTGCTTATCCCTCTCCAGCCAAGAGTTTCTGCCCTGGAAGACTATCTCTTACCTCCTTCCTCTACAACGTCCAAGCATTCTCCCCCTGTCCAAGCATTCACATCTATCGCGCTCTTCACATTTGAAATGCAGTTATCTCATCTCTAGCCACACTATTCCTGGCTTCCCAAATCTGGCTCAAAATTGTTTACCCCAAAGCTCTTCCTGCTAAACCCCATTCCTAAAGAGTTCCTGATCCCAGGGGACTCCACCTGCCTCCGCTCACTTGCTGCCATTGCTGAGTGGCTCTGCTGATGCTGTCAAGCCCTCTTGTGTGGCATGTTCTGCTTCCCTCACTTGGCTGGTCACTCACTGAGGACGGGACCTTTCAACCATTCGAATGGAATCTTTTGAAGCAGTTGATGCCCATAGCAGAGCTCTGAGGGGCGCCTGGGTGGTTAAGTGGGTTGGGTGCCTGGCTCTTGGTTTCGGCTTGGGTCGTGATCTCAGGGTTGTGAGATCGAGCCCTGGGCCTGCTTGAATTCTCTCTCTCGCTCTTCCTCTGCATCCCCCGTCCCACCAAAACAAACAAACAAAGTGGAGCTCTGAAATAGGGGCCCCCATTATATCCAGTGTCTCCTCCTCCTGCCAGTTCATCCTTTCAGAGCTCTCTTCCGCCACATCTGCCCACCCAAGATTTATCTGTGCAGGGATCACTTCAATACCCATAGGCATGGTCTCTTCATAGCCCTCAGTAAGCAAGTATTTACTACTGGCCTGACAAACAAGTTGACGCTAGTTGGGCATGAATTGATCTAGACCCGTGGTTCTCAACCCTGGCTGCACACGGGGATTCCCTGGGAGCCTTTTTTTTTTTTTTTAAAGTGGCTGTCTAGGCAGTCTCCTACACCAGCTGCATCGGGATCTCCAGGGTGTGACAGGGCTGGATGGCTGGCTGCCTTCCTTGCCCCTCTCAGATAAAGCAAAGAGACCATTTGCAGGAGCCAGGAAGACACTGGAGACAGCAAGAGGACAAGAGTGTTTGAGGGGCGCCTGGGTGGCTCAGTGGGTTAAAGCCTCTGCCTTCAGCTCAGGTCATGATCCCAGGGTCCTGGGACTAAGTGCCACATGGAGCTCTCTGCTCGGCAGGGAGCCTGCTTTCTCCTTTCTCTCTGCTTGCTTATGATCTCTGTCTGTCAAATAAATAAATAAAATCTTAAAAAAAAAAAGTGTTTGAGAAAAGGGGTTCTGGAGTGCTACCATGCTAGTGTAAATATAATGGCACCTCCTCCCGGGGCTGCTGGGGCTGCCGTGCGCATCAGATGGGTTAATACTTGTCAAGTACTTAGCACAGCAGTGCAGGCATATAGTGAGTGCTCAGAAAGGTTGGCTATTTTTAGTCCTTCTCTCCCACTTTCTCCCCAGCATCGTTTCTGAACCCCTCTCTGCTCCTCCTCCCTCGTACCAGAGCGCCATCTTTGTGGGGACAGGCAGCAGCGGGACAACGTGTGATAGCACAGGAAGTGTTAGGGGGACATATCCCTGAAGGTACCTTCTCCAGTGCCTGTTCTACCCGTGCTGGGAACTGCCCAAAGAGGAGGGCAAAGTGGGTGAGGGGCCAGTTGGGAATCAAAAAGCCACCCTCCATGATCCCTTGGGAGGGCTCTCCTTTTGTGCCTTTGTGCCCACCTCAGGTATGGGGCTGGATCAGAAGCTGAAGTGGGGGAGAGTGGCGGCTGCAGAGATACCCCAGATGAGTCAAGAGCTCCCTGCCTCTCCTGGCATGAATGCCTGGGTCTGCAGCTGCAGCAGCTTTCCCAGCGCTAGCTGACATTTCGGCTGGATTTGCTTCCTTGCCTAGCCGAGCGCTCCATATGACCTGCTCAACGTAGGGAGGGAGCGTGGGATGTGGGGGTGGCATTGAGAGGGTGAGAGGGTAGACCCGACCCAAAAGGGTGGATTGTTT